ATTTATAAATTAATAAATCAATTATAAAAAATAAATATAAATATATATCTTAAAATAAAAAATTTATATTAATTTATTAGCTACTATAATACACTAATTCCTAACCCATTATAACACTGACCTATCATAGCCCAAACCATCATATTAACAACTTGTAATAATACCATTTCACCAACCTATTATAATGCTAATCTATTATAGTACAAATTCATTATAATATAAACTTATTGTAATACTAACTAATGTAACACCAATTTATTATAGCACGAACCTGTTACCTATTATAGCACAAACCTATCATAATACTAATGTAATCTGTGAACAAGTTCTATATTAAGATATAAAGTAGATAATACCAAGAAAATATTATCAAATCATCTGTGATTTAGTTGTAACAACCTAAGTAAAAGTAAGTAAACTTGTATATCTATAAATCTAATTATCAAATTCATAAAATACTAAAATATATTCATTGGTTGCAGCATTCTGAGTTAATCCATCAACACTTTTACTTTCGAATTGATTTATCAATTGCACATGATTATAAACCTATAAATATAAATATAAAAATATATAAAGTATTAATATATGTTGACATTAAAATTGTTCTACCTTTGTTGTGAATATTTTTCAAATTGTTAAATAAATCCTAATGAAATCTTGGGTCCAGACCATTAAAGGTTCGTCCAGTAAATATACTTATAGCTAGTAAAGGCTCAATGTGAAAACTTGGATGATTTTTTTTTAACTAGTTGATAAACATTATAAGCTATACATAGTAAATAATATTAAATATTTAAAGTTCACTCTTTCTAGTTTACAACCAGTAAAACAAAAAACAAAAATTTTACTAGAAAAAACACCAGCACTCTCAACAAACTCTGACGGGGTGGAAGCCCTCAATATCAAGAAATGCAAACTAGAAACCACAACCATGAGCAAGTCATATGCAAACAAGAAAACTAAGCTGGACTCAGACAGAAGCAAAATTTTTTCCTTCCAGAAAACAAAAAACTTTGGTAGTAAAGGCAACAAAACAAAGACCAATACAACCTCTACAGTAGAGCCTGTAGTTAACAAGTTTACAAGTTTTGAACTAGAGGACAGCACTGCAAGTTGGGCAAACCAAGTGGAAAATGAGCAAAAATATCAAACAGAAACTCTCAAAACTCCTTTGACCTTAAGAAAAACATGTAATAACAATGAAAACTTGGAAAACAACAAGTATACAAAAGATACAGAACACATGTCAAATGATGAAAACAACAAACAGGCATCTGATAACAAGCATGTGTCTGACAACAAACATGTGCCAAATAATGACCAACCAGGGACCTCCTCTGCAGGCACCCCAAATAACACACTAACTCCAAACAACCTACAGGTCTCAAAAGGGAAACAAAACAATAAGGATAAACTGAAACAGTGGGCAGACCTCTTTTCCAAATTGAAGAGAGAAAAAGCAATCTTCTCGAACTCCTCTCCAAGACAAAAAATACATTTCAAGAATGAGAATGCTCTAATCCTGGATATCAATAACCTAATCAATATACCAACAAATAACATAATCACAGCTCTAGCCATAAGCATTGGAAAGGACTTGCTAGTAGCCAAAACTTATATGTTTAGAGAGAAAAGACCAGCCCTTGAAGTGGTTCTTAAAAGCAAAGAAAAAGTTCAACTATATGTAGCAAAAGGCATCATGTTATTCAAACAAACACTCTTTGGCCATATTCCAGTTAACTTAAAATGCACATTTTTTACAGTAAAACTAAGAAACACTCCAATGGAAGATACAAAACAAATAAGTGATCCTATTCTAGATGCCTTCCAAGACCTAGGCCAAGTAGCCTCAATCAAACTACTACTCTTTGAAGGAACTACCATCTGCTCAAATCAATGGCTGATTACCTTCGAAACTACTGATGATCCAGATTTAACCAAAAGAATTCCAAGAACCACACATATCAGAGAAAATAAAATAACTACAGAATGGAAAGAAGCTCCAAAAATTTGCTATTACTGTAAAAAGGAAGGTCATTTTAAAAAAGACTGTAAATAGTTAAAGGCCTCTATAAAGGCAAGAGTTATGCTAAAGATGGCTAAACTACATCAAAAAAAGGTTAAAAACCAGAAATTAGCTGCTCCAAAACCTATTATCAGTCAAAACAACCCCTATCTTGACTACTCAACAGAGTGGGCCCAAGTAAAAAGATCTTCTGACTTTACTCCCGAACCAACAACAGATAACTTATCTCAAGACAAGAAAGAAATCACACAAGAGCCACTATCTGCAAACAACACAATAGCAGAACAATACTCCAAAATGGAAAATGAACTATTCGATATCCGGAACCAGCCAATACAGAACAACAAGCCAAAGAGGATACTCCTTTTATC